ATTATAATTTGTGTTGGTTAATGCACATGTTGATGAAAACATGATGAAAATTCATTTCCTCTAAGACGTATGTAAATAAAGAAGAGTTTCTGAATTTATTTTCAGATGTACAGATGAGTGATAACGTCACAATACAACAAACGGTGTCCTGTCTATCGCCTATTTCTTACAATTTTCATTTATTTCAAAATAAAGAATCTATTGTAATGACATTGGTCAAATATCTATAAGTTGTCGAAAATAGTTAAAGTTGTGTAAGGCTAATTCTTCAAACTGTATTTCGCTGCGATATATAGAATTTTTAAACTGGTTTAATAAAGGATCGATCTGAACATAGCTGATCTACTTCTGGACGTACATATGTAAAACATGACTCGATTTTCGAAACACAGTATATAATTTAACTTTTTCTGTACTGCATAGGTACATCATTGGGGCGAAATTCATTTGATATTGACAGTCACAGGCTTAGCGTATCAGTAGACGTGCTCACCTTGAAAGCATTCAAGTTTTAGTTTTGGACATTAAGCAAGACACGGCGGCAGTGGGTAGTTCGAAAAATGCATTAGGCAGTTGGCAGTAAGCACTAGGCAGTATGCATTAAGTAAAGCACTGTCGTCTATGGAATTCCGTACACAGCAGCTTAATATGTACGTTGTCTAAATGATTTTACTTTCAGTTGCCTTCAGATATAGTTTTATATTACCATTCAATAGCCCGTAACCAGTGGAGTCTTTATGGGGCTCCAAATACAGTTTGACAATTGCAAAAGCTGAGGCATCTGCTTTAGCATCGGGTTAACATTCAGGTAATGGTACGATTTTGACTTTATTTTGGTGTAAACTTAGTTGTTATTTGCAGTTACGTAAAGTTTGGTGAATGGTTAAGCGAAATTTCTTGTCGAAATTGAGCAAAAAAGCTACTATTTCCTGTTTAAATTCGTCGACATATGGTTACCTTAGATTTAAAGAAAGGAAGGTTTTGTTCGGTGCTTTTTTCATTAAAGTGTTTATAAAGAACGTTGACATTGTTAAAAAAAACAACAATAAATAACAGAATAATTGGATCAAAGACGTCTTCCGTCCACCTGGAGATGAATACAATGTACATCACGTTGACCGATACAAACAGAAACGGACACAAATTTAATGCAACAACACATTAAATTCAATATTGCATACCTTCATATAGAAGCAAACTTAAAGATTAACTTAAAGATTTCGTGTTCAACTTCGTGAAAATATTACCGAGTCTCGAGTCGCAACTTAATTAATTGCATAATCCTAGTGCATGGCTACTGCTACTGCCAATTTCACGTTTTATAATTTTGCTACTGCTACTGCTGTGTTACTGCTACTGCAATCTTCATGTTTTATAATTTTGCTACAGCTACTGCTGTGCTACTGCCACTGCCAATTTCACGTTTTAAAACTTTGCTATTGCTACTGCTGTGCTACTGTTACTACCAATTTCACGTTTTTTTTTATTTTGCTTCTACAACGCTGTGCTACTGCTACTGCCAACTTTATGTTTTATAAGTTTGCTACTGCTTCTGTTAATGCTGTGTTACTGCTACAGTTGTGGTACTGCTACTGCTGTGCTACTTCTTACGCATTTGATACAGCTACTGCTGCTCTTCTGTTACTGCTACTGCTGCGTTATTGCTACTGCAACTGCAACGCTACTGCTACAGCCAACTTCACGTTTTATAATTTTGCTACTGCTCTGCTGTGCTACTTCTACTTCTGTGCTACTGCTACTGCTGTGCTACTGTTACTGGAGCGCTACTGCTACTGCTGTGCTACCACTACTGCTGTGCTACTGCTACCTATGTGCTTCTGCTACTGTTTTGCTACTGCTTCTGCTGCTCTTTTACTACTGCTACTGCTACCCTATTGCTATTGCTACTCTATCGCTACAAGTACTGCTACGCCACTGCCAATGCTACTGCCAATGCTTCTGCTGCTCTACTGCTACTGTTGCGCCACTTGTTTTTTTTTAAATTTTGCTACTGCAACTGTTATGCTTCTGCTAATGCCAACTTCACGTTTTATAATGTTGTTACCGCTACTGTTCACTTCTACTGCTAACTTCAAGTGAGGACGATGAATGTATTTTTTTTTGGTTACGAAGTTTCTAACAGGGGCTAGCTATTAAACATTAGCCAGGATTGCGAATGATGAAATAGGTAGAACTGGGAAAATACATTATAATCATTTAAGCATTCGAGTGTGTTTTTCTAGGACACATACGTATATATGGGTTTTATGGGAAAAAAACGACAAAACATTTTTCAATACAGACATGATTTACAAAAATATCAATCGCTTAGTCATGACATACATAAATATGAAAACTATTTTATCTTCCGTCCTTAAACTGTATAAAATGTGCCATATTCGTAGTGAAGATCTGAAAAGGGATATATAATGAATCTTGCTCTTTAAACATAAAGTTCAAAGTCCATTTTTAGTTTCCTGAACAAACAGAAGTAGCTATTACAATGGTCCATTTTTAACGTTTATTGCAATTAATTTCCCTGATGTATTTTCGCTGAAGAAATTACTTAAACGAAACGCTACTAAGAACTGAATAACTCACAATATTTTCCACTTTTGAAATTGTGAAACGATAGTTAAGTTGATCTAGTTTAAAAACAGATTTACCATTATTGCTGATGTAAGTATTAGTTTAATTATAATTGTGTAAAACATTTTGCAGATATACTGATTACTTACATAATACTATGATGAAAAGACAGTTTTGAAATGACGAAATACTTATTAAAATATTAGATTATAGTGACTTTACTGAGCTTTTAGACATGACGGAACTAGAAATGTTTTTATTTCCGATATGTGTGTACCATTTTATAAGTCTGGTCCAATAAACCGGTGCAAAGATTAAGGGTATTCAATCAACCCGTTTTCTTTTAATTTTATTTACATAAATGACATAAATGACCAAACAAGGAAAAACGTTGTAAGACTTTTTACTTACATCGGGATAAGAATTGCACAAACTATCGATTTTCAACTTCATTTTAAGTTCTGTACTTAATATTTGTAAAAAAAAATCAAATTTTTATGATTTTGGACATTTTGACCTCAGTAAGTTAAGCGCCATTGATGTTGAATCTAGAACTGTAAAGCTAGAACGTTGTTTAAAATATTGGATGAAAAGAGAAAATAAAGACATGAAAAGAAATCATCAATATCAATAACTGAAAAGTAATAAGTTTAGAGTTATGTTAGGTTTGATGCAATATCAATCGTGCTATTGTGTAAGACGATTTCTGTTCTTTTCAAATACTTTTTTTTTAAATTTTCGTCTGCAGACTAGTTTTATGAACGTCCACATGTTTCATACTCATGACTTATAAGATTCGTCATTACTTTTGATATTGGTTGATACATGTATAATATTACGATTTTAAATATATAATTATAATATTTGACAAGCATACGTTTATTATAGTTAAAGATATTATATTTCTTACGCTATATATGAGTAAACCGTAATATTTCTACCTTTATCATTGCAGTTTGCTTAAAAATGTTTTGGCGAGCGTTTCTACTTGTTTGGTTTACTAAACGTAAGTTTGTTTTATTAATTAACAAAAACAAAATCTCATTTTTATCATCTTAAGGATTGGTCAACCACAGTCATTTTAGCTTCTTGGTCGAAGATATTTTACCTCCGACCCAAACTCTCAACCCTCAGATAGAACTGGAATTTTTAGGATATTTACATGGGGTTATGCTATCTAATCTTGCTTTGATTTATCTAATATACTTTTCACTTGGCAGATAATTTTATTTTAATATGGACGTGAGACTCTTTGGTTTTCTTCAAAATCAATTAAAGGGTTTTATCTTTGGCTCTTTGTTACTTTTTAAAGAAATTTTCCATTTTTACCTAAATTTTACACGCGTTTTTTTTTTTTTTTTTTTTATTGTAACAAAACTCTTGGATAAAAAAACAAAACGTTGTGTTATTGTACTCTGTAAACTAGTAATAGTTTTTTTTTAAAGAGAAATCCCCATTTTAAACACTATTTAGCAAGTATCGATAAGATTTTCTTTGTATGTATAATTATTAATTAAATGTAACTGTAATTATGTAGAGTAACATATCAGTTCTATGTCTGAATTCTATTGATTTAATAGTGAAAGATGAAAGTTTCGCACTAAGCATTTTTTCAAAAATTGGAGTAGATATTTGAATTACACCTCATCAATTCTTATTGGATTTACTGACATAATTGTAATATAAGCTTCAATACGTCGCTTTCGTAGATTAATTCAATTCAAATCGTAAAACTCGTAAACAATAAATGTTTGCAGATTACATTTCATTATGCCATGTTCTCTCTGAAGTATGGTAATTTTCATTGATTTGGCTTTGTATACTTATACCAATTTATTTTTTATTTTTGCTCTGAGGTTAATCATACTAAAAGGTTTCAATTAGTAAGATGTTTTGTACTGAGGGTAATATGCATTCAACGAATTAGCTCTTCTTGATTTTAAACGTAAATGTGGGGGTCATAGCTTTTTTTACTTAACTTATGAAATAGAAATTAATATTAAATGACAAATAGCAACACAATTTTAAAATGTCTTATTTTAGTGAGAAAGTTAAAACCATTTTACAATTATGTATATAATATTATCAAAGAAATCACTAAATAACTAAAGTTTGTAATGCTAGAATGAAAAGCACTGTGACTGTTATGGCTCTTTGAATTTTGTTGTTGTTTTGTGGTTATTGTTGTGTTTTTTATTTAGTACTTTTTTATTTATGCTTTTATGTGTCTTACATCATTATAAAGAGTGACTTTATACTTTTCAAGATGATATCGATGATATTAATAGGTGAAACAACTCCTATTATCATTGAATTTTGTATGTTTATTTTGTGCTTCAATGCAAATGATAAATGTTTTCTTAACATACAGATTAACATATGAAGACTTTCAAATTCTTATTACATTACAGATTCAGCTTCCAAACAACCGATTCTTTCACCACAATTTTCTGATGTCATTGAAAACAGCAGTTTAATGTTGACATGTAAAGTTCCTAAAGAACACACTAATACAAATTGGAAAATTAACAACGGAAGCATATTTTCACACTTGAGCTTTTTGAAAGAAGGAGAATGTGAAACAGATAATAACTTTCTTGCTGATAAACGTACTTTTGACACGAGTTGTTATAGTAATGGTACTTTCAAAGTCACTATAAAGAATGTGACTATCAGTAATCATGGTCAACGATGGTTTTGTGTATATAGGTTTAATCAGAGTAATTTTGCTAGAATAACTGTTCAAGGTAAGCAGTTGCGTTTTCGTCCAGGTAAATGTTTCAACTCATTTAATAAGTGAACAAAGTGAAAATTCTGTTTGCGAAAAATACTTAAACGGAATATTAGATTGCATTTACAGATATGCCGGTCAATAAATATTGATATTTTATTGATCAAGTGAAATATCTTCCTGAAAAATAACACTTTCATGCATTTGTTTTGAAGTACACTTTTTTAACTTTAATTGTAGTGGAGTCATGTTACATAAATGTGATTTTGTAGAGGCGTCCGTGACATCTGTTCAAAATCCGAAATTATTTTCTGACCTTGAAATAGGTCATTCTGCTGAAAAGCTGCCAATGTAGAATTTGTAAAACGTTACCAATGTATCTTTTTACAACTATTTTATTTTGATTGATGAAGACAAACCTTTTCTCATAATACGGCTTAATGTGTATAAATTATATATAAGATAGTATCTTTGATTCACTCAGTGTATGATAACTTTTTTCTTTGACTTTTTTAATAACCTGGTCGTGTCCTCTCAAACTCTTTTATAAATGTTTGATATTAACGATTTATTTAAGAAATAGTACACATCATTGAGGGCCTGAAAACATTAAAGTGACCGATCAGTTTGCAAACATTTAACGGCTGTTTTGGAGATCAGTATACTGCTATGTATATTTTCATGATAGTTACTTAAAGAATCATAAATTTACAACAGCAGAAACAAACATGTTTTGGATACACATTTACCAAATAGCAAAATTAAACATGTTCATTATCTTTGTCTTTTTTTTTCTTTTTTTTTTCTGAACAAAAATAAGTCAAATGAAGTGAATTTCAAAATCCTGAAAGTCTATTCATTGTTTAATAAATACAAGCACAGTATATGTATAAAGGGGGTCTCTAAAACGCACTGAATTCTTTCAAACATTTTAAAAGGGATATGTAATTCAGGGCTCGCTGGCTAATTTTCTCGCCGACAATTTATCTTGGAAATTGAGTCTAATGGTCATTTGTCTCTCACCGCTGAATCAGAAAATCTTGTGTAATTATTCACATGCTGAGAAATTTGAAACTACTTGTTAGTTATACAGAAAACTGGTTACATTTTTCAACGCATTACTATAAAATGTGTATAGATCGGCGTAAAAAACGGACAAAAAATAAACAATAAAAACTCCAGGACAGCATTAGGAAATTTATGAGTGAAAACACGGCCATAAAATCAAAATTAATATATTGTTTGATTTTATTAACTTGTCAATTGCATACTGATTAACGCAAATGCACACAATATTAATAGTAATCTTCGATAGATTTTCGTTAAGTTTATTTATGTCTATGAAATAATTATACTGACTGTAATAGTGCAATGTCCTGCCTGTTGTAAGATCGAGACAGCATAAGTTAATTGTTTTGTTTTTATTTACATTTTCAACATATTTGAAGCTATTATTTTTCATTATGTTGTTCGTTTTGTGTCAATCTGTTTTTCAATTACTTTGGTAAAGTGTATACCATTTTTATAAACAAATATTGAATAAAGAAATAACTTTTAATATGGATTAGGATTATAATCAGTTAATATCATTTCAATGCATTGATGCACATACAAATCTAGAAAAAGTAGTGTTTCTAAGTTACTTCATATCCGTTTAGACAATTTTGCAAGCACATTGCAATTTCTATTTAAATATACTGCAAAAATAAAGAAATAGTATGTATAAAACAATGTCAACAGTAGAGATCGAACCTCAAGCCTCTAATATTTATACAATCAGCTAACCGACTGTGCTAAATGTGGATGTATTAAGCAGGTGTTACTTTTCAGTTATATACTCCATATTAATTATCGTAAACTTAACGGACAGAATCAAAGTTGGATCTAATATCTAAGTGAGTGATATAATGCTACAATGACAGCTATAATGTATTCATATTCACAGGTCAATAAAATAAAACTACAGCATATTCGTGCATATTGTATCGGAAACAAGAACATTTCTAAAACAGATATATATATATATATATTAAATTTAACAGCTTTTCAAAAAAAACCAGCTTAACTGAGAATGCGTGTGTATGCACGAACTATAATATATGAATTGAAAACTATCGCCCACAAATTACTTGTTCTACATATTATTGCATTTTTGTACTAAAATTTTAAATGTGCTTAACAGATAATTTCAACTCAAGGGTAATACATTAACTTTGTCAATTTTCTTTTTCTTCTTTCAGTCCCCATCAAGTACTTGAAAATTAAAAATATTTCCGAAAATATGATAAAGACAGTAGAAAATATGACAACAAGGTTAACTTGTCAGACATCGGCAGGACGACCTGCTGCAAGTATCACATGGAGGAAAATGTCTAAGACAGGCATGAGCACAGATTTAACACATACAGCGATATACAATATTTCTGAACAAGACAATGGCATGATAATATCTCAAAGCAGCATTGATTTGAAACTGTTACGATGGGAGAATGACACTCGAATAATTTGCGAAGCGACGAATAATATATCAAATATAACGCAAAAAGAAGTTAGACTTTATATTCAATGTAAGTTTTTGTTTTTATTTTGCCTAAAGTGTAAGTCAATAATTTAATTAACATACTAATTGAAAAGAGATTGTCATTGAATGTTCTTGTTTTAAGATATGTAGTAAGATACTTAAATATAAAGAGCATATAGATATGCACAAGCTTTTGCAACATTCCGTAATGTGATAAATACATTTCTCTCCACAACATTGTTATCCAAAATTTACAGTTTTAATGATATAGATCTACATTTGGTCATTTTCAATCTGTTGAAAGTGTGCATATATTTTTTCATACAATGTACTTACATATAAAGTAAAACGTTGTAATTTCCCTTCAGAGCAGGCGGAGATTAAACACTCTATGCTAAGTCTACTAATGTGTTACATGTACTTTGATGGATGTATCACACAAATACGCCTAAACAATGTATTTGTGAGAAACTTTAAAGGCATTTCCAGATGTAGGAATTTTTTTCAAAGCCAAAGAACTGAAAATTAAACTTACGCATAGAATGTTCTGAATCTTTGGATACTTATAGAAATATCGAAAACAGACAAAGAATAACGGTACTAATTGCGTAATCGTGTAAAGTTAAATATGTTATGTATTTGTAGGATTTTTTATAGTTAAACAAAGTCATCAAACATATCAAAGAAATAGGTCATAATATTCATATCTTTCTCGATAGTTCTGTAATCTTCAATTGTATATATGGTTACTTTGTTGACATTATAGTCTGTACATCTAAATATCAATGTATATTATCCCGATATTTCAATTATAATAGTTTGTTTTAACCAAAGAAAATAACGTGTTTAAGTCGTTCGGGACTTGAAAAAAAATGCTTCGCTATAGCCGAAAATTCGTTTTAAGCGAGTACGTATTAAGCGATGTCATTTTATATGAAATAAAGAAGGAATCGGCTGGTGATTTCAGATTTAGTTTGCTATTAACGATAATTCGTTATAACCGAGTTCGTTATAAAATTCAGCATGTAAAAATATATTTCGCAGAATTAAATTATTAATATTGAAATTAACTTTAAAAATTGCTTTTTAAATGGCTACAGACTGATTTATAAATACATGTATCTTATGACAGTAGCAAGTCATTACTAACAATTCACTTAATGCCCTACACATATTATGTTGCTTTCAATACAGTATAGCTGTTTCATCGGAAACTAATTTGTGACTTTAACGTGTGATTATATATCTCATTTATTTGTATTATATATACAAAACAGGAAATTTATTAATAAAACATTTCAATATTACTCAGACGTTTTTTTTTTCTTTTATAACATTTTGTGAAATTCCATATTATACATTTACAATTGCAGATCCTCCGGGTAAACCGAACTTTGAATACGTTGCACAAAATGAATTTGCAAGAGATGGTGAATTACGTCATAATAAACTAATCGTTAAAGAAGGAAGCAGTTTTACTGTTATATGTAGATCCGACGATGGTGATCCTCTTCCAACATGCACATGGAACATTTCGAATTACATGAAATCTCCTAACCTAACGTTTACAAATATTACAAAGGCAGACATACGATTGTATGAATGTACTGCAGAAAACGAAATGCAACATTTCCCTAAATATGAGAGAAAATGGTCAACATCCAAGGCAGTTCTTGACATGGATGTACTATGTAAATTGATTTGTTGTCTCTCATTTGTAAATTTGTAAATAATTTTGTTTAAGCATACACATTTAAAAGAAAAGACTTAAAATTTATGTAAATAATCTGACAAAAGGAAGGTCCTACTGACTTTATTATTTCAGCGTCCTTGTTAATTGTCAAAACCTTAAAGACAATAACACTTTATGAAACAAACTGTCTAAATTTATTTCTATTCAGTCTATTTTAGACACATAATGATCTGAGTCGTTTAATTAAGTATCCATTTGAGTCTTCAGGCACTTTTGGACCCTTTTAATATGTCTTAATTTCATTCGTTTGTGTTATTTTGAATATGTATTCATTTTGCAGATCCAAGTAGAATATTACAGTTCAATGTAACTGAAGTTGAAAAGAAGGATACCCATTTCGAAGTCACTGAAAACGAAACCATCCACTTTATCTGCAGTGTTTACGGAATCCCGTATATCAATATCGGTTCCGTTTAAAGAACAAAAAAATTGTGGCGTAATGTATTTAAAGGTTGATTTATCACATAGAATCGAATATGTAATGAAAAGGGGGTTTTTAAAAGTTTAGCAATAACAAACAAATCTAAACCATTACCAAAAAATTAACCGTATGTGAAATGTAGTTATGCATTTTTCTTGACGAAACTTGCTTAATCATTATTTCAAGGTAGGTTTGTCACAATGAGTATGTTTTGATTTCTAAAGTTTAAGTGTTGATAAATACAAAATATACCTAACATTTTTCGAAGAGTCATTGTAAAACAAAATTAAACTATATCCCTAATATTTTAAATATCTGCAAATCCGCCTTGAAATCGTCAGGCTATATCATATTATTTAGTTTATGTTTTAAATTACTACTATTCGGTCATTGATAATTTCATCTCCTACATTAAAACTAAAATAGCACTCATTTTACTTAATTTAGACATTTTTAATAACGTCGCAAATGTTACGTGTCACTATAGAAAACATAACTCTTTATGTTTATGTTCTATCTTGTGATTGGTAAAGCTTTAATTTTCCGATATTTCAGGTACACCACTGTTATCACAAGAGTTTGAGCTGAAAACAAACATTACAAGTGCACAAAATGTGTCTGTTACTTTTCAATTCAAATCTATCGCCTATCCAGAACCGAGATTTGAATGGTTTAAACTTACCGACTCATCCTGGGAGACATTAAATACCGGAAATGACAAGAAATTCGAAATCACAACACAGGGACTAAACTCCAGTCTCACTATACGCGACATAACTGAAGACAATTACGGACGTTACAAGTTAAAGATAAACAACACAGTGGGCTCTTTGGAACAAATTTATTTTTTAAAAGCAAACGGTAAATATCAAAATGTTATATTGTAATTTGAATATCTTGATTACAACATATTGAAATGAAATTAGAGTTCAGACATAGCTAAAACCCTCTAAACAGAACGGCTCTCGGGCCATTTAAAAGGTATTTAAATACAAATGTATTTGAATAATTACCGTCTCCGTGGTCGAAGGGTTAGAGTCGATGACTTCTAATCCAGTTACCTCTCTGGCGTGGGTTCGATACCCGGGAGATACTTTGGTAGTTTAGCGCGGAGGAAGGTATAGTCTAGTACTGGTGTAACTCTCCAGGAACGACGGCTAGGAAACTACCCGCCTATATGAATGAAATACTGTTGGGGAAAGGCGTAAATTGAAACAAACATACAAAATTTGAATAATTTCGTTTTTCGATTGGGATAATTTCCTTTATAATATAAGATGATGAATAAGAATATATTGATATATGGAAGCATGTGTTTGTCGACTATATTTAACTCCCTTTCTTTCCTTATTGATTGATTGATTGATTGATCATTTGACAAGTGACAGTGTCTTAGTTCTTATTAAACAAACTATTATTGATAAACACTTTGTTTGGAATTGAAACATCTTATTATTCTAAAGCATTGCATATTTTTAACCCCCTCTCCCAAAAAGAAATTGAATTCACGACAGCTTAAATTAATGAATAATAGGATTAAGATTATTTTTCAAACGCACTAAAATCAATTAATATATGTTTAACAGGAAAACCTGATCAGCCAACGTTGTTTAAATATTTAGCTGGGGATATCGCAGAAACGTCAGTAATTCTGCAATGGAAACCTGGGTTTAATGGTGGTCCTAAACAAACGTTTATTTTGAGATACAAACATAAATCAGGAAGTAATTGGACGATAATATCTATACCTGATGACGGTAACAAGATCATGAACTACACTCTCAGTGACTTGAAAAGTGATTCAGTGTATTTTTCGGAACTGATTTCAGTGAATTCTGAGGGGCAATCGATAACACGGAACCTGACATTTAAAACAACAGGTATGTGAAAATAAAATTAAAAAAAAAACTGAAAATGCAAATTTCAATTGATGTTTTTATTGTAGTATATCAATTAACACTGTATATTGTTCTGCTTAGACAAAGGTTTTATTTTTGCAAATTAAAGTATCAAATTATATAAGTATAGGTAAGTTATGCTTGTACGAGTACAACTTTGGTCAAATCAAAACAAATACTATACTGAAAACAAATATATCCTAAAATACTATCTTACAGTCAGCAGGGTTATTCAAAATCTGTTAAAACGTTTTCGTCATCGTTATCACTTCATGTTATCTTACAATTTAGAAGCCATGATTTAAAAAAACGTTTGTCATTTAGTCTACTGAAAACGTTAACTGAAACAAAATTGCATTTGCTTCTTCAATATTAATAAATTGTTAATGTATGTTATTGAATAAAAAAATATTGAGTATACGTTTAGCTCACCTGAGCACAAAATGTTTTGAGGTGAGCTTTTACCATGATGGCAGTATGTCCGTCGTCTGTTGTTTGTCCTCCACCACGGCTCGCTATTTCCTTTAACAACAACTCCTTCTTGATTTTAAAAGTGCAGTCTTTTAATAGAGATTTAAACTTTGTCTACTAGACAATATTACTCAGTGAATTGCCATTCCGACCATTATTATTCCATAGCTACCAGTGAATTTCATAGCAACCAATGACTATCAATTGCAACTAGATACTTCAGAATCAACGAGCGGCATGGCATTTTATGCCATCCATTGACTGTGATTTCATAGCATCTATTGTACCTCTATAGTAATCAGTAACTTCAAGATCAAACCTTTTCATAGAAGCGATCGACATTTAAACAACCATTAACTTATCATAGCAGTCAGTGATTTCCATAGCAGCCATTGATTTCCATAGCAAAAATTTACTTTTCAGTGAATTTTATAAATCCAGTGACTTCCATAGCTACAATTGAAAATACAATTAACAGTTACCTGTGACTTTTTAATTGCTCACTATATCAGACGCATAATTGAACTTTGATACCAGTTGGCCTTATATCTGGTTCTCGTAAATGGTAATGTTAATTTGCTTTCAGAGTCAGGTGAGCAATATAAAGATCGTCATGTTCCTCTTGTTTAATTGTCAACCGAGTTGCCGTTGTTTCAAGATGATTTCAAGATATTTTGTCACGGAAGTAAATGAAATTTAACTTTCATAAGGACAATGACAATTCTTTAAACAATGAACATGTATATATTATATTGTCTATCTAAATGTTCGTCAAAAGTTTAAACAATGAATGCTTTAATCAAACGGACGGAAGTCAAAGTCATTGTTTAAAGCGTTTGATATAGATATAGTCTCTATAGATGATTTGTTAGAACATTAAGTAACGATTGAATGACATGTCGTATACTCACCCCCCCCCCCCACCTCCCTTTCATTGATTTACTTTATTTAAAGAATATATTCCAATTTGATTCTAGCAATGTAATAGACAAAATGATTATCACATAAGTGTAATAGAAATGGAATAAAAAGCTTTATGTAAAAACTTAATGTACCGGTTGCTCTGAAATCTTCAATATCATTCACAAACGATAAATAAACATTACATATAAAGAATATAAATATAACGTGCAAATCATGAATGATAAACCATACAAATATTTGTATTTTGTAAAATTTCTAATTGCCTTTTAATACACGTCTGCTTTAAATGTATAAATAACATTTCTTTTTCCTTGAAATGAAGGAATTGTCATTTCATTCAAAACTTTTTTGTCAGGTTACATGTCCGTGTTAATACAGTTGCTTGTGATAAAATACTTGCCTATTAGCCTATCCTTGCCTAAAGTCCAATCCTCGCTTAGAGTCTTAGGTTTAACTATAAACTATTTCATTAACTTGTCAATATTCTCTATGACTAATAATATAGGCCGTGTACTTAAAGAATCTGACCTGAAATCTATGGATTGATGGGTGCGAGGTTCAAAGCATGTCAAAGACCAGCCGTTTTCCCCGATTAAGCAAAACATTTCCACATATTGCTTAAAGGAACTGACCTGGGTGTACATTCAAATGTTTGATATTATATTATAGATATTCAAAAACTGACTACAACATCGATACATTATTTGAAACTTACACTATACTGCTGCGGAGGAGTTGTAGGCATTGTTGCTGTATTAGTTGCAACATGCTTCATTTCCAAAAGGTAATGTTTTGTCATGAATGCATTGTATATGAGTGTAAACAAATATTCATTTGCTTGTTGAAAGATTTGTTATCGTTTAAAACATATCTATTACTTATTCATTATACATATGATGAATATTTAGTTACTTAAAGTACACATGCTATAATACAGTTTATTATATGATCTAAAAATAGCTGCAATCTCATTGGTCCAAACTGTAGTCAACAGAACTTTTTATAAAATCATATTCACTGGGGCATGTGGGGGTAGTATCATATTAACTGGCTGAATTGGATTTTCCAAGTCTAAAAATAGATTGAGACTCATATTCAATGACCATACACCGTAGACTGTTAATTACGTGTGCTAATCAAAAAATAATTGTTGCGTTTTGTTCTTTATGGCATATTTCTCGATTGAAATAGCATTACTTTACTGTTATACTTAAAGGCTAAACCGTATCGATGAGTATAAACTTGAATTACTTTTGTATGCGCAGCGTTCGCGTAGTCGTTGCACGCCTAACAAGTGCGTCTTTTTCCCGCGCTTGAACGAGGCAAAATTTGTACATGTATATAAGGTTGTACTTTTTCGTCATTTTTTTAAATTCTGAGCCTATTCATATAATAAAACAATTATTGACTAGTGAGCCATTGTATATGATGTGATATTCACCGGCAGAAAGTCATATTGACCTCGGCTATCGCCTCGGTCAATATGTCATCTGCCGGTGAATATCACATCATATTCAATGGCTCACTAGTCAATAATTGTATAATATTTAGTAGATCTAACAGTTAATTTGTCTTACATTACAAACGTATGGGGTCTTTTCAGAATGCAAAATAAACGAATACAATTCAGTTCACTTAGAATTTTAAAAAATTAATCGCGATTCATCAAACATTTTATCAGTATCCTTTGTATAAATATTCTATTAACAGACAACAACCTGTCTGACATCAGTCACTTGATGTCTCCATGACGGCCTTGGTAGGTTATTTAAACTGAATAATTTCGGTTTTCGTCAGTCAAAACATTTATTGTGTGCAATACTGCATTTGAAATATCCATCTGATGAAACTGGATAATTTATCTTTGTTTCATGAAAGCCTTCACGCATATAGTTCTTATTATTCTTCCGAGAAATACACCTCGTAATTCTTTCAAAGTTCACTTTTTTATCATCACATGATGTGAACATTTGGAATGCCTCTTATACAATGTACCTGTAATGACTGATTCGGATATTGTTTTGGTAAGACATAGGCAACACATTGTTCCCATTTTGTGCAAGAAACCAATGCCCTTAGTCAACAGGATGTGGTCAATGTCACTTTAGGTTTACTAGAAAAAAAGTATCTTCCAATTTAATGTTTTATAACAAATGACTAAGAAGTATATCTTTTTCATCCACTGTCGATTATTTTATGCCTTTGATTTTAGAAGGAAGAAACAGTCCACGCTGAAAGTTATTTATCAAAATGTACCTCCGTGTGTTCCCGATACGGAAAATATATATCAAAATATGCCGGGTTGCAGTAAGTTATTGTTTAAACAAATACGTTTTATGGTTACAAATTAGTCATAACAGCATTCTCATTTAATTAAAAATAATGTAACAACAGTAGATAATATTTAATCAGTCAGTAAAAATCTTCCTCCAATTATACCGTAAAAGTGCATGTAAAATTTGGTTAAACATGCCTCTCTTCATTTAACCTTTTTCTGAATCTCAAATTATATTGAAGAAAACAAAACATATCCGTAAACTGTTTGAAGGTGCTAGTTAAAAGATTGTGATTTATTATTTGTATAATCACTGCAGGTATAAAGGAAACGAATAAAGGTCAAAAAGCAATTTATTCAAGGAAAGCAGCGGTTCGAGATTTCCAAGAGGTGAAGGTAGAGCCAGAGGATGAAGTAGATACTGATGATCTAGAAGAGCTTGATGAACTCATCCCAGAACAAACGGAATATATAAACTCATTAGATCTTATAGATAAACTAGACAAAATAAAAGTATCTGAACTTTTTGATTACGTAAAGGATCGGGCGGATGAAGCATTTAGTTATGACTTTCAGGTATATAAAAGCGGTTCAATGTTACATTATTGCAGTTTTCGTTTTCTTTTCGTAAACAAGAAATAATAATCCTATAACTTGTCGAGTTATTATGAGCCTAATACATCCATGTGAACTTTAAAATTAGCATTTTCAACTTACATTTTGGTACACCACTGCTGTTGCTAGTTTCTATATTTCATATTATCTAAACTGTATTTTTCAGAGCATTCCTACCGCTTTCCAGATGCCATGTTTATTTGCACGCAGTCCTGAAAACAAAACGTCAAATAGATACAAGGGCATTATGCCGTGTATGTATTATATATACATTTATATTTTCAGTGCTACAATGTCTATTTAATATAGAATATACAGAAATTGTAATATTATTTTATGGAGATGTCTAGTTATCATTAGACGTATGTTCCAGTAAAGTTGATTAAGTTTTAGTTATTACTGTTTCTGAATTATATTCTCTTCTAACTCTTTACATAACTCTACAAAATTTCAATTAAAATAAAAATGTTCATATATTCTTCAATGAATACTATTTTATGATATGCCCTGTTGAAAGCAATGGAGGCAGATATAATATGTGCATGACAATTTCAGAATCTAATAAATGATTTGCATTGTCGGCTTTATTAAGAATGAAATTTATCCGTAAAGTTAATAACTGTTCCGCTTCGTCCATATTCTCTTTGGTAGCACTACTTCATATTCCCAGCACAGTTGTATAAAATCATGGTTGGAAAAGGGTCTGTGTCCACAGATTATGTCAGCTTTGTTTAAATACATCTCAAGCTTTGTTTAAATACAGTTCAATACATAAAATTATCTTTTAAAACCTCTATTGCCGTTACAATAGCAGCGATAATTTTCATCAAATACTGCAGCTCATTTTTCGTAATTTCAAACTTGCTTATGAATTAAAATAATTTTATTTTAAAGTAATTGGAAAATCATTCTAATCTTTCCGGAGTTCAGTTTCAATAATTACATTATAAAAGCTACTAGGTATGTGACATGAGGGCAATTGACGAGTTCATCAATTTAGATATCCATCCGTTTTTAAACCATTTAATAAGCATTTTAATAATAAGTTTAGATGAAGAGCTATCGCTAGAGCAATGGCAACAGAAACACATGCTTGAAAAATCGCAAACTCTGTTGTACTGAGGTCGTTCAGAAAAGAGACTATGAAATGTAACATCTCCCACGCCCGCTGGTACTTGTTACAGCGATAATCAGTCCAAGCCTATTCACAATATCATTTCCAATGGTAACTATCATTCACACCCAATGGAATAGTACCAGCATTATCTTTAAAACTCTACACTTGAGAAAGTATGACATTTTATTTAGTAGCAATGGAGTTTCAGATGTTTCAACATTAATTATTATTCTTTTCAATTCTTTCAGATGATCACTCCAGAGTTCAAATCGATGGTCAACCAGATTTTTACATAAATGCATCATATATTGACGTGAGTGTTAGCAATCTATAATGATATCGGTTTTAATATGAATAATTTGATGTAAGTGGCGGCGTGGCAGAGGGGTTTACTCGCCGAAGTAGTAATCTACCGTTGTTGCCGCGAGCAAGAAAATTTACAATTTTTGTTAAGTATGGTTTGGTTCCAGGAACGGATTCGAGAGTGTTTCAATAAGCCTTTACTTTCCAACACTATCGAACTAAAATAAATTCTGTTTAAACTAATATGAATGCTTGTAAGTTAATATAAGTTCACTTATGTACTCAAGAAAGGCAGTGCACTATATTAAAATTTTGCCTATACTTGTCTGATGTACCCAAATGAACATTTATGAATTGTTTTAAATTTATTTCAGGGATACAAAAGACAGAAAGCGTACATAGCCTGTTTAGGTATTTTTCATTTTGTTATGTTTTATAATTATTTATTTAATCGAAATTTGTGACATCTTTGATCATAACAAAACTTTAAATTAGCGACTTTTAGTGGAACATCCAATGTCTAATGAAATATTTGATTATATCTTTACATATCTAAGAAGTACATTTGTACATATAATTATCTATTCAAACATATTAAAAAGAGCATGACTTTGAGAATTTACATGGTTAACACATATTTTACGTTTTCATGCATTGTATTTAAGGTATCAAGTGCTAATTAACCTTTCCCTTAGCCAGCGTAACCTTGTATTATAGTATGGAGACCTTTCTTTAGAAAATGTGTCAGAATTAAATCGTATACCCTTACATGCACATTGCGTTAACTGGAGTGCAACACTCTAGTTACCCCGATGTCTGTCGGGGACCATTATGGAGCATGCTCCATGAATGGCAAATTACGCTTAGAGGCTCTTTCTATTACATACCACATTTGTCGCAATTTATTTATTTATTTTTTTTTGCTTTTTTTAGAGATAATAATATATAAGAGTAAATTATGTCAATAACATGATGAAGCACTGTATAAAATTTTAAAATATAATAGAAATGTCTTTATATTTCAGGTCCTACCAGCAGGCAAAACACACGATAACTTTAAGACTTTCTGGAAAAATGGTTTGGCACAAGAAAGTAGAGATTATCGTGATGGTTACAAATTGAATGAACCATCTGTATGTTTGTTTTTTACCAGATCTAATAACCTTATGTCTGTTGTTTCCAATCATGTTAAAATTTTTTTGACTATATAACATTATTTTTAAGACGTTATTGCATTATACGTTAATGGAGAATTTGTTTGACATAAAAAGCATATAATTATCTCTATTATATGCGGATGCTAATCTTAAACTTTTTATAAAAGTATCCTCTTATATAATCCTCATATATCTACTGATTTAAGGGTATGAAATGCGAGCAGTATTGGGCCAGATGTCAGTCAAGCTGAGGATAATGGTTGATGTACATGTTTTTCGTTGCCAAAATATACAAATCCTCTTTTGCAGATTACACATTAAGAACCCTTTAAGTAATAAACAATGCAGAAAAGGTATGATAATATCGACATAGTTATCTGACTATCTTGTTAAGAAGGCCGTTGGTTTGATTTTAGTAATACTATAGATTGCATTAAACATGAAGAGGGTTTTTTTGTTTGTTTTTTAATTGCATACGGAGGATTTAAAGTACTTAAGCTACATGTAAATTAACATAAATTTATCTTAAAACAACTTACATAAATTATTGTGTTAGTTATCAAATCATAATTAAGTAGGCTCTACGCAGATTTACAAATTAAACATATAAAGTTCTCTTCTCGCCATTCACAAAGTTTCAATCAATCATATTTAAGTTTCATTTTGAATGTTTTATACAGTACAAATTGTATTAATATGTTGAATGTTAAAGGGTGATGTTTGCAGACGTTTAGTTCATCTTCATTACACTTCATGGCCGGACAAAAAGACACCAGAGGATGTAATAAGTCTTTTGGAATTCAGACAAAAATACAGAGATGTAAAAACGAGCTTAAATGGTCCTATTATCGTTCACTGCAGGTATATTGTATTCATTTGTTGCTGTGTTTTGTTTTAATTTTTTTCACAACAAAAATTTAAAAACAAAAGCCATTGACATATGTAAGAAATTTGAAATTCCACCAATTGTATATTTTAATTGAAATATGCTGACAATATGTACCAGAGGGCATTTGATGACGATGCTGCGTAAAATATGAACATTGAAAACCTGCGGTTTTCGCTTCGCATTGCGTCGTTTCTTTTTTCAAGATAATTAAGAAATAAAAATGTATTGAGTTCAGTTTATCCAAGAATATACAAAACAAATCGGTTATATAGAAAAATAAAAAATTTATGGAGTAAAATAAATTAATGGAGTAACTAATTATATTGCCTAGGGAAAGTAATTTA